TATCAGAAGGTTATGGTATTAATTTTTTTTGGGCTAAATTATATTTTTCGATAAAAAGAGTATAAAGGGGGCATGCCCGGGCATGGAGGGGCATGCCTTTACTCCAGGCATGCCCCTAGGGGCATGCCCAAAATTTTTGCTGTGCCCCCCAGCCTACTTATGAGAAACAAGAAATAAATAAGACTTTTTAAAAACAATATTTGAAAATAAATCTAATTGTACTCCGATCACACGTGACATCGTACGTAGCAAAATCCAGGAAAACAATATCGATTCAACACGAAACAATGGGTTTACCCAGGGGCGAAACTAAATAAAATTAGAACCAATCGAAATAATCCAAAAATGTCCACAAATAATTATTTTACGTAAGCGCTAACAATATAAAAAAAGAAACAATGTAAAAAGATAATTACTTAATAATTCTAATAATTTACAATAAAATGCGTTAATCGCGAATTACTGTTTTATCGTTTTATATATAAAAAAAATTAAAAAAAAAAAACAGACCAGATAGCTGAGCCCAACATGAATCCTAGCCTTAACGGCTCAGCCTGGTCAGGTTTTTACAAAAAGACTTTAAATGAACGTCAAAATGAACTAAAGCTTGCTTTTCCGGATTTATTTAATCTTCCTCCACCTTCAACAAATAATCCCTCAATTTATGCTACACCTTCAAGTTCTATTTGCAACTCTCCTTTAAGTCCTATTTGCAGATCTCCTATCTCCTTAAACTATTCCAAAGAAAATGAATCAAAAGAGGGCATAAATGACGAACAACTTAACTACTTAATAAAAAAATTAGAGCCATTATCTGTTGATCAGAATCCATTTCCAATAAAAGGTCTTGAAGAACATATTGCAGATAAAATGGTTGAAAATTGTGTAGGGTAAATATTTTGATTTTGTTGTTGACCTGTTGGATAAACTATGAATCTTAATTTTTGATCCTAATTTTGTATAGGACAATAGGTTTACCGGTTGGTTTGGCTCTTAACTTCATAATCAACGGAAAACCAATAATTATTCCCATGGCGATCGAAGAAGCCTCAGTTATCGCTGCTGTTTCGGGTGCGGCAAAAACAATTTCGTCATATAAGGGGTTCACCGCAGTGGCACCTAAAAGAAACTCAATAATAGCTCAGATTGTTCTTTTAGATATTCCTCAAAATTCTATGAGTCATGTCGTAAATAAGGTTTGAAATATAATTTTTGTTATTCTTTATGGAATTTATAATGTATACTATTTTTGTTGAAAATATTCTTAGTTATTACACCAAAAGTCGAGTATCATTAAATTTGCTAACCAGTTTTGTGACAGCATGGTTAAACGGGGAGGTGGTGTATTTGATATGTCGGTTAGAAGGATCCCACGTGTGAATAATCGAAATCCAAAACATCATCCAATTGGTTCTGAAAAATTCAAAGAGTGGTTAGTGGTGCATTTGCATATTGATGTATGTGACTCTATGGGTGCTAATTGTGCAAGCAAAGTCGCAGAAGGTGTGGCACCACACCTTTCTGAATTGACTGGTGGTCGAATCGGCTTAAGAATTTTGAGTAATTTAAGCGTAGAAAGGATGGCAAAGGTAATTGATTAACGTTCGTGATATATATTGTTGGGCACAGCATACAGTGTCCCCCAAAAATAATACCCTTTGATTAAGACCCGGGTATTGTCCGCCACATGACTGGCTTAATTCTGAATAATACCCGGGGTATAACTATATTATGATATATCCCAAATATAGTATGCGGTTCCTTAAACGGGTACTACTCAATTTATAAAATGAAGTTCTTGAATAAGACCCCGGGTCAACGGTAATAATCATTTATTTGTGATTTATTAGGCATCCTTCCGGATACCGCTATCTCTACTCTCTTATAAATCATATACTGGCAAAGAAGTAGCTGCACGTATTATTGAAGCTTACGAATGGGCTGAGGTCGATCATTACAGAGCCATAACTCATAACAAAGGCATAATGAATGGGATTGATGCTGTTGCTTTGGCGACAGGTCAGGATTGGCGTGCTATTGAAGCCTTAGCTCATGCGTGGGCTTGTGATGGAGTAAGAGATGACTATTCTCAGTCCAACAATTACCGTCCTTTGACAACATATTGGATTGAAAAAGACGATCAGTTGGTAGCATGTGGGAAAGAAGGCGATGACTGTTTAATGTTTTGCGGGGAATTGGAATTGCCCATAACAGTTGGTACCGCTGGCGGTGTTATAAATACAAATCCTGTTTATTCATATAATATGGGAATTATGGGAAACCCTAACGCAAGAGACCTCTCTATGGTATATATTTATGTGCACTATCCTTAATTTTGTTTTTTAATTAACATCTAACTTCTAGTGCTCTTTCATATTCTTAGATCATGGTATGTATAGGTCTTGCTCAAAATTTTGCTGCTCTCCGTGCACTTGCTACTGAAGGTATACAGTGTGGACACATGAAATTACATGCCAACAACATAGCCTTTACAGCATTACGTTGTTATGAAGATGAAACAAACCGTAGTTATCCATCTCACATTGTCACAAATACTGCACAAAGAATGATAGAAAAAGGTAGTATAACGTTAGCCACAGCTAAGGAAATTATAGAAGAATCTTTATCTGGGTCTATTAATACCAAAGTTCAGTGCACTTACATGTGATTATTTAAAAGCTCTTACACTTAATTAATAATAAAGGTTTTTTTGACTGACATTTGAGATTTTAAACAATTTTCATTGTTAATACTGCTATATTTGATGGTTATATTTAACATGTAATGTATTTTATGTATTAACCCAAATAATTTTATAATTTTATTTCAACGATGCAGTAAATTTATAAAAAAAGAAAAATTTTAAATTATAATTGTATTATTGTTTATTGACCCTATGATTAATTTTTTCTGTGATTGCGAGTGTGATTGTGGTCAATTTATCATAAATCTGAGTTAGTGTTGGCCCAATACAAACTCAGATTTGCCAGTTTTATAAGCACAATCGCAACCGCTAATAATTAAAAATTTTTATGGATAGTAAAATTTCGTGTAACATCTATAAAGTATATGCTGGGACTTCCGATATATCGTTAAATTTACTACGTAGTGAAGACTCTTACGTACGTACCAACTAGTTTTTCCTAGTAATTTATACATCAAACGATTAGTTTAAAATAATTAAACAAAGTTACAGTTTAAAATTTTTAATTAAATTAGTAAGAACTTTTTGTACCATTGTTTGAATTAAAGAAAAATGAATTGGCTTTGTAAAAAAATTAGGAAATAAAGATAGAAGAAACCGTAACTTTGTTTAATTATACTGAATTAAACTAATTGTTTGACGCATAAATTGCTAGGAAAAAATAGTTTGTATGTGAGATGAATAAAATTTTTGATCACTAGTCTTCGCTAGTATATTTAATGATTTTGCCGATCTATGCATAAAATCTGGCACTACTAGTTTTTATTACAATATATACAGTCTTCCTCCTCTATAATCACACAGTTTGTATCAAGAAAATTGGTGATTATAAAAGAGTGTGATTTTATAGAAGTTTTTTTAATAAGTTTTTTAATAAATTGTCTCAAAAATTAATGTGATTGTATAGGAGTTGTGACTATATAGGAGGTGATTATAGAGGAGGAAGACTGTATATATATTAAATAAAATTTAAGTACTTTTAACCAATAAGGTAGCTGCGCAATGCAGTCGTGCTAGAAACCAGGAACGAAATAAGTTCAGATAAATTGTTTACTTACAACTCTTTAAATAGCTTAAATTTTTATTATATAACTATAGAAGTTTAATACAGTTAAACCTTGATATAATTACCAAGCTCAGAAACAAGTATTTGATGATTATAAAAAAGTGTGACTAAATAAAGGTTAAATTTATATATTTTATAATGTCTAGGATTAAGAAATAGTGTAATTATAACAAGGTTGTGACTATATCAAGAGTGACTATAATAAGGTCTGATTGTAAATAAAAAAAATAATTTAAGTTTTAATATTAGTAAGAAATTTGAAATATCAGAACAAGTCATAACATAACCAAGTTATAACATATTTTGACTTTTTATTTTAAATTATAGCATATTGTAATATGCATATCTGATATACAGATTATCATAACATATTATGCTTTATAACTATGCTATATATTATAATTCAATTTTTTACATACTACATAGTACATAATTTTTAAATATATAACTATCGCTATATACCAATATATATATAACTAGCTATATATCAATACATTAGATTTCAAAGATAGTTTTTTATTTTATAATGTTTTTATATATAGACTTTGACTTCTATTGCTAGATTATTTTGATAATTTTTTATTTCTTGTAGTTTTTTGCATACCAATTACAGTCAAATACAATTTGTAAGGACCAGCTTTTTGACAGCTTGTATTTAGAGAACAATAAGAAAAATTGTATTTATGGAAGTTTAGTATTATCTAAAAGGGAAGTAAAGGTTGTATTTAAAGTAGTGTTATATTTAAATAGTTGTATTTAGAGAGACCTGGCTATAAACAAGTTTATGATGCTTATCTCATAAATAATTACAAACTTAATCCAGTTTAGATCTGCCATAATGCTTCTTTTTGAGTAAATTTAAATGAAAACATATTTGTCAGAATGATTAATATAATTATTACTTTAAATTGAAGCATTATTTAATAATTGATTAGTGCAAAAAAAGCAAATATTATTGTAGATTCAGATAATGAAGAGGGAGTCTCTTGATTAATATTGTTAGTACAAAACAATTTATTTTGATTGGTAATATTTTTGAATATATTTATAGTTTTACTAAAAATAGTTTCTTTATTATGATGTATTATTATATATAATTGCAATTCTTGAGCAATTTCTGAGCAATTCTTAAATATGTGAAGGTTTGTAATGCAGTCAAAATTTTTCAAAGTTTGTTTATATTAATGTTAGGTTTTTATTATAGTTAGAAATTAGAAAAGTATATAGTAAAACTTCTTAAGAAAAACTTTTGTTAGTATACAAAGAGTAGTTTTATATACAATTTTTAAGAAATAAGTGATTTTTGCTAAAATGAATGTTTGTTTTGAATTTTCCTGTTCACTTGATCTTGAAATCTAATTTGTAGTTCAGGCAATCTGTGCCACAAATCTAATACACATTCAAGAATTGCTTGTGAAATTGAAAATGATACCATGGTACATAGATTTGTAAGCATAAAATAATGTTATTAATCTTATGCTTAATCATGTGAAAGCTGATATATATGAGAAAACTTTGCATTAAGAAGATTTATCTTTGGTTTCACTATTACCCACCTTATAATATTAGGCTAGATTTGTTATTCCACCTATATAAAAGTTAGAAAGAGTACTATCTAAATTAGCAATAACTATATGATATAGAGCCTGTTTAGTATAATTACGGCTTAGTATAGTAATCACCTGATCAGCGGTTAATAGATATAGACACTACAGGCTGCATTGTAATACAAGAAACTTAATTGCAACTCAATACTGTATGAATGAGAGTTTGCTTAGTATGTGACTGAAAATAGTGCAATGACCACTTGACTAATGACTTCAGTATTGAATATTAATGGTATTGGTAGTTGTAAAGTGTGCAGCATTGCAAGGACTTTAGCATAGTATAAAGTCTGGCATTAATAGATATAGAGTGCAAGGACCTAATTTGTAAATTAGAATTTGTTTAGCATGATCGTGGCTTAGTGAATGAAGGCAGCTCAATGACCACTGATCAATGGTTTAAACATGCGATGGGCATTGGTAGATGTAAGGCTCTACAGTTGCATAGTAGTGCAAGGACCTAATGAATATAGAATATAGAGTCTGTTTTGTGTAAGTATCTTATGCAGGTAGGTATTAATAGATTTAAGGCTTCATGGCTGCATAGCAATGCAAGGAACTTAATTGCTGCTCAATAACATTATGAATTAGAGTTTGCTTAGTATGATTATGGTTCTGTGAATGAAGGCAGCTTAGTATGATTGTGGCTTAGTAAATAAAAGCAGCTTAATGACTATTGATCAATAGTTTAAACATATACCGATAGGCATTGATAGATGTAAGGCTCTACAGCTGTATAGCAGTGCAAGAACCTTAATAAATATATATATAAAGCTGCTTAGTAAGCATGGGGACATTTGTATTTTTCGGAAAAGCATGGGCTTTGTTATAAGATTTTTGACCAATCAGAAACTGGCTTTACCAACACATGATCAAAACAGATAGATAGTTGTTGAACTAAGCAGCCAATCAATGGGCATTATTTATCTATTATAATTTCTTTTGTTTTAATTTCAAAGTACAATAACTCACATTGTAAAAGAATTAGACTATTCACTCACACTCTAATAGCAATTTTACAATTGCAAACATTCTATTTTATAAGGTTTTTAGTAACCAGTTACACGTCCTTCAATAGTTTTCCTTAAAATCTTACGTAATTATTAATAAAATTATATTATCGCTATTGTATATGTTAAATAATTCTATCGTGTTAAATATCTTTTAAGAAATA